ATATATATATAACTATTTTTGTCTCCAATTTATTGATCATTTCATTAAAGACTGGGTAATTTACATATGGACCAATGCACCAATAAACCAAAATGTTTCTTATTTTTATATTCTAATATTTCAATTAGGTACCTAGTTTGGTTCGCAAGTTTCGAGATACATATCGCTGAAACATATTTGAAACAATTTTTTCTTTCTGAAGAACAGAGATATATATCCCTCGAAACGTCAAGAAATCTAAAATTACAACGTGGCAACCAACTCGGAAATTTAAATTATTTCACCATATAGTTTACACTTCATAGTTTACGTTTCGAAAAACTCGTTATCAAAACTTTCGTCCTCAATATAACTTAAAAGTGAAACGTGACAGTTTATGTTGTGTTGTAAGGAATTATCTACTTTCCCTGTGTGAGACATTTCTGGTTGGGCAAAACTAAATTTAAAATCCAATTAAGAATGATTATTTATCCAAGTCACTTCAGTGACACACACAAGTGAAGTCACACTTCAAATTTCGAGCCCTGAGGATGGTGTAAAATAACACCGAAACGTTGGCAATGATTTAAAATATACTGTTCTTTTATTTATTGATCTTTATCCCACTAAAACCTTGACTTGGATAACTAATCAAGATCGCAAAATAGTGGAAACATAATTATTATTTATAATTTCTTTTTTCTTTTAAGTGTGGTAGAAATGTCTGATCAAAAAAGTGTAATTCAAAATGATGTCACAACTAAATAATTACAGATGATATCTTAAATAAACTTACTGGATATTTCAGCTACAGTTTTTAATTTTGGAAGACTATTGCATTTCATGTAGATGGCGATGCAAAAGTACAGAAATATATTTTATCTAATTGTAAGAGAGATACATGTGTTCTGGTTTGTGTAACTTATCACACTAAAGACTTTTGATTTATGTATTTAAATTTGGTAGTGTGTAGGTTTTCACATCTTTTATTATACTGAAGATGCAATATGTGCGCTGTAAAAAATTGAAGCGAAAGCATTTGATAGTTTAAGGATTTAGTATGTCGTTTAAGGGCGAAGTCATATATTTAGCATACAGGGTGTAACTTTGAGTGGGGCTCATATTTACACAGAGCTTTGACCTTTAGAAACACGAATCAATAGTTTATTTTTTCAAATTCTGTCGTTACAAATAATTTTTTTTTTAACTGCTTTTAGTAATTTTCAAACCCCGCCGCTGGACAAGCTAGTGTGATTTCAAACAATGGCGCGTTAGACACAGCACATGCATAATTGGGAACTGGGCTACGCATTGTTGTCAAATCTCAATTTAAAAGAAAAGCTGGTAAAAAGCAAATTTCTACACCACCTGCCCTAAGTAAAAAAAATAATAACACATAATTGTTTGTAAAAACTTTAAAGGATTTAAAAAAATATTTCATATCATAGATTAGTATTTGTTTATTTTGTTATGTTCGTTTTTTAAAACAGCAAAACTAATTATTTTAAAACATAAATTAGTTTTATTTACAATTAGTAACATATCTACATGCCAATATATTGATTAATACTTAATAAATCGTGTGAATATTTTTAATTCTTTAGAAACAATTTTTTTTAATGTTCGGCGCTTCGTCCACAGTGTCATCAAAAAAATATGATGACTAAAATAACACGTCGATGTCATATTAAAGCAATCTGTTTTCACTAAATCATTTTTCATTAGTTTGCTGTCTAACAGTAAAATAAAAAATTATATTTACTTAGCAACATATACCAATATTAGTTAATATTTATTAGATCATATTTTTTAGATTTTTTTGTTCGCCGCTTCGACCACAGTGACATAAAAAAATATGTTGATTTTAAAATAACATGTCGCTAACATCATACAAAACAAATTTTTACCAAATTATTTTTTATTGTAACTTCGTACAATTTAGGTTCAGTTTAAAACAACTGGCAATGCTGATAATGCACTAATACGCATATTCCGAGTGTCACTGTTTCCACCGCCCAGTGGCGACGTACACAAGAATTAAAGTGCAGTTTAAAAAACTAATTATAGCCCGACTAATTATTTGATTAAAAAAAATAATGTCAGATTCGTATCCCCAGTTAAAGTTACACCCTGTATATTTTAAAAAAAAGTTCTAAGAATGAAAAAATTTTTAAAAACGTTAGGATACGAAAACTGTTAATGATTCCTACTTCTACTTCTCATTGCGTGTTTCTCTTTAACATCAAATAACTTGTTTTACATTTGAAACTCATTTTTTATATACCTAGTTGAAACACTATTGGTTAATTTTTGCTCAAATTTGACCTAAATGTACCTAGTTATTATGCTACAGAACTTCACTGTACCATGTTTGTAGTCTATATCTTCTATATCTTTTATTGTTCTTGAGTAATTGATAAAAAACTGGCACTTTCTATCTTTGAAGGATCATATAACCCGATAAAGCAGCCCCTGGAAAGTTTGTTCCAACGTTGTCATCATATTCTGTAACGACGTCATTAGAGATATTCATATTCACATCTATATGATTTAATTTCTTAAATATTTGGACAGTTATTACTCATCATTTCGGCATCAATAGTTATTAAAAACATTAAGAGCTAGTTGTGAAGTAGGTACCTGAGTAAACATAATGGGTAGGATGTACGAGATGAGAATATCGTCAACCAAATATTATAGTACATATTTATTAACCATTTCCGGTTACTTCTACCATTAATGCTGATGTTAATCGATGATTGCTCGGATATTCTTTCAATCCTAGTATATTTTATATCATACAGTACATTGAAACGAGTTTTTTTATTTTTCATTTGATGAAGAATAAAAAATCCCTGTATTCAAATGTAGAGAAATGTGCTTTAAGTTATATTCGCAAGTTCTAAACTCATGATACTCTAGTTAAGCATTTATGCGTATCAAAATTTGAGTAATAAATAATATTAAAGAAAGAAAACCCCTGAACCTTTGACTCTAAAGTTAATTGTTTTGAGTATCAAAAAGCCTAATTAAGTAAGTTTTAAACCAATGTGTCCATAAGTGCTTCATTTACATTAATTTACACAGCGAGTCGATTGAGATTCTTGAGAGATTTTAACATGAACAAAAAAATTATTTTCTGTGTAATTAAAGTATATTTATCGTATAAATTTCACCAAGAAAAGTTGCGGAATTAAAATTTATTCCGATGTGTTGAAAATATGAAAGCAATAGATCTATTTTGATTTCTTCAGTTTTTCCATCCTCTGTATAAGCATTCGGGAAGAACGTTAATAGAAAATGTTCAAAATTAAAACGTATGTTAATGCCCCAATTTTTTTGTAAATTGGTTTTGATTGTAGCAAAGATTAAAGTAGACTGATTATCTTCAAATTTTTATTGAGAATAACTTTCGCAATAAAATTTCTGATATTTATATGAAAAAAAAAAAAAAATTACTGCAACAGAAAATACTTTCTTGGCATCTAAAAAGTCCTGCTTAATTTATTAGATATAAAAATATGATACAAATTACTTTCGGCTATATAGGAGCGTTTCCTAAAATGCCAAAATTTTGAAAATAAAAAATTTTTGTCGACGCCTACGGTAAAGACGATCTGAGGACATCCCTTGTACGGAGTGTAACCTAAGTACGTTAAAATGTGTAAGTGTTCATGAGTTAAATCTAAGAAAAAAAGATTATATAAACCTTAAAGAAGAACATAAAATTCTCAACAACTTCATTTAACGCCTAAGGGACTCATCAAATTGCATCTTTGCAGAAATTGGCACATTTCTCGAAAAGGTGTTCTAGCGTTGTTGAGAATGTATACCTTTTTGCTTTAAAAAGTTGTAGGAATATGGTTTATTCATAAAAAAATCGCAGAGGTCTTCTGTCAAAAAAGTTATGGCAAATTAAAATTAATCATGATAGCGTACGTAGCGCCCTCTAAGTGCTGAACAAAAATTAATACCAAATTATGATTTCTCACCTCAAAAAACCCCCGGTTACCAAATTTTGTGCGAAAAATTGATCTTTCGTAAAAGTTATTTAAGAAAATTGGAAATAAAATTTTAATTTCAATACTCTGTATCTCAGAAACGAAACATTTTCGGACAAAGATTTATATAAACTTTCTTTTTTATAATTAACTCAGGAATACCCGACTTAAATATTTTACCGTACTTAGGTTAGATATATTTGATGTTGGAAAAGGATTGGTTATTTACATACTGCTTAACTGACGTAGTTAAGGACAAAACCAACTACTATATCTCAATTCACTTCTTTGTAGAGACCACCCTGTACATGTTGATCCGCTTAAAATGACAGTTTTGGATGTTTGAAAACAAACAGAATTTTTTAACGAAAATGACTTCTATTTCATTTGAATGAAGAATGAAGGTAAATAAGTAGATCTTTAAACAAATGTTCTATGTGTTGTAATCGGATTTAATTTTAGAAATACCTCATATTTTCGAGGATATTGCATATGTAATTTTTTGTTAAATATCAAATAACACCGTAACAGTACGAATTAATCCCAATATTTCTTTATCAAAGTACGCTTTAAATTCAATGAGATATTAAAGAATGCTAATAATATACAAGGTGTTTCATTAAAAATATTAGTTAAGAAACGCTCAGACAGAAATAGGACACCCTGTATAAAGAAATTGAGAAATTGGTGCCACTTTCGATTTTTTATTACTTAATTAAGGAAGCTATGGAATAATTTAAATTAAAACGTCAAATACTTTAGGTACATTATACAAAGTCTGTAATCTTAAAATTGCAAATACCGGCGCCTTATTGATTCATAATTTTATTCAGACATGCTTCGCTACTTTTTCCTTAAAAACATATTCTTTTAAAATTGCGATGTTAAAGCAGTACTCACCTCTTGTAGTTTTCATTAAGCTGTTCCAATTTTTCCGATAACGCCTTTGCGGAAGCGCTGGAGCACTCTCTCAAGAACAATAAGACGGTATTGGATAATTGCACTACCTCCTCTTGGTGGGATCTGAGGGACTCTGCTTCCGATTGCAGCTCCTAAAAATACGCAAATTAATAATTTATATACTACAGAAACTTTAAATTAATGCTATTTGTACTAACAACCAAATATTATATTGCATTCAATTTTAGTCTAAAGTGATAATATAGAAAATATTCATTCCGGTTTTTTAATCATTTTCTACAAATTATTTATCCACTATAAATACTAGCGAATTATTATTAATTACAAATTTACTTCAACAGAAATAAGCAAAAATAAATAAATGCTACTGAATACTAAAAATAAGAATTTCTCCTATGAATTCCGAGTCTATTGTCCTGTTTTCAAGATACAGAATGTTAAAGTTATTTTTTTAAATTAATTTTACTAAGATAATTATAGAGGGCGTTTGGTATGCTATAAAACAGAAATATTTTATGTCGCAACTTTTTTGAGGTTAGGATTTTGAAGTCCTTAGTATTTTCTTATACATTTTCATGTATTTTTTACTTCTACACCAAAAATCAAAAATGTGTTTATCTTTAAATTTGCTTCGTTTTGAAAAAATTATACAAATATTATAGATGTGTTACGTCTGTAAGTATTTTTCTTCCTGTAGATATATGTGTTTAATTTATCCAGACTATAAGATAATATCATCTGTTAAAGTGACAGTAAAAACAAATTAATTTACAAGCAACATAAAATATAAATTATTACCCGTTATATTTATATTGTATTGTATTGTGTGGTATTGTATTGTGCTGTATTGTATTGTGTTGTGTTGTATTGTATTGTCTTGTTGTGTTGTGTTGTATTGTGTTATGTTATGTTATATTATACATATTATATTACATCAGATTCTAAATAAAATATAAAACGAAATACGTTTTCTGGAAGACTTAAGAGGACAGGGAGTTCATCGGTTTTTAGACTAAACAATAATAATAAAAATTTAGAAAAAAATAAAGTTTTGCGGTTATTTTAAAAGGCGACATTATGTTATAGTTTGTAAATATTGAAAACATGCCTATTTGAGCTAAAAGCAAAATTTAGGGGAATAATACTCGTCGGACCCACCTCCAAGATTTTCTGGTAAAGGAAGCGGTTTAGTAAATTTTGAAAAAAATAAATACATTTTTTGTGTTAAAGATACTTGAGAAATTAATATTAAAGAGCATAAAATACTAACCTGTAAGAAGTTGTAAGATTGGGCATTTCAATAATTCTCTTTACAAGTTTATAAAAGCTGTCACAATTATATAGTGGCCAATTTCGGGGAAAGCAATTTTTAAGTCTTATCGAAATCGGTATATGTTAACGTCAACAAGATATGACAAATGCATTGAGCTAATCTTAAGTTAATTCTAAAAATGTTTTTAAAATAATAAAAATACCTTGATAAGAACTTTATTTTTAAAATAAAATAAAAGTATGAGCGTTAATAAAAAATGTAAAATAAAAAAGGGCACAGGGCAAAATTGGATATGTATAAATAATTTTGCATTGTCATTTCAAATTTTCATTTGCATTATTTTGTATATTATATAATTTAATATGTATTATCTGAAAAAGAAATTCCTAAAATGCAGAAATATATCAATTATTGTTTGAAATTTGTGATATCCTTTCCTGTTCCGAATGTTATTTACCAATTTCAATGTCACAGCTATGTACCTTTTCATTAGTACAATTTGGAAGGAAGTAATTTATTTTCAGGTAATTATTTTTATAAATTATTTACGGAATTAATTCTTTAGAGAACGCAGTTGCTAGGTATTAAATAGTATACGAGATCATATGATAAAAATTTTAGAAAATTTCTAAAATCATTAGATTTTATTAATTATATAATATTTACATGGCAACATAAAAGTACTAATAATAAACAATGTATAATGGAATAAATAATGAACACAGATAATCACTCTTTTATTTTATTTGATCTAATTTTCTTCTTCAAGTACTATTTAAATTATCTACAAGGTGGTCACTTTGTAAGTGTAAGTAACAATTCAATGTATATCAAGTTATCCTAACATACGACCAAAACTCCACAATTTTTAAATACATTTCATTGAAATTTACAATAGCATTTTTTTGAGAGTAGCGGAAGGTCAACGAAGACTTATTTCGTGCCAAAAACAGATTAAAGAGAGTTTATTTTTTATCATATTTTTTTTGTTGGTGGAGACTTCCGGAAACGGCATTTTATTAAACGCCACTTTATTTGCTGTAGTTTCCTACATCAAATAAAGTGGCGTTTAATAAATTTCATATTTCATATTTTTTGTATGTTGCTAAAATGCACCGCTTCAGAGAAAACCGGATTTCATTTATTTGCTACAGTTGTTAGTCACGAACAGTTAAAATTTGCAGCATTCTAATTTGGTGATACTTAATCTTTATGTTAAATTTATAGTCATATAAAATATATTTTAGGAATTAGACCAACTTACTTTTAGTCAAATGTCAGCTTTACAATCAAGTTACAATTCTTCGAATGTATTGCCACAAGACTTATGTAGGCGGTTTCCCGAAATTAATGCAACAAAATTTGATCACAGTTGCTTAAGACAAAAGGGGACCTGCATTTTTTATTTTTGCCAAGTGCCCCCTCTTTCGGACTTACAGCCCCCTGAAATCTTCTCCTAAGAATACTCTTTTTTATATTTCAGAACCTTGTTGTACGAGAATCACTAGATTTGGTACACAGGGGTTTTATGACATGTGGAATATGAGAGTGTTACGCTTTTTGACGGGGCACCCCCTTAAGACACTTTTTCGTGGGTCTTCTTGTCTTTAGAGCCAAAAAAATTTGGTCGCATTTTTCAATTTCTTAAAAATTATTATTCCGCTAGAAAGCCATGAATTTAGAAACTTTTTTGTCTCTCGATATTTTTTTCGTCAAACGCAATGTAAAAATGGCGAATCACTATTGTCTTTTATGAAAAAAGTATCAAGAGACGAAAATGTTTCTAAATTCAATGGCTTTCTACCGGACTAATAATGCTTAAAAAATTTAAATATGCGACCAAATTTTTTTAGCTCAAAAGACAAGGGGGCCCACGAAAAATTGTCGAAAAGCGTAGCGCTATCAGATTCCAAATGTCACAAAACCCCTGTGTACCAAATTTAGTGATTCTCGTACAACAGGGTTCTGAGATATAAAAATAGACTATTCTTAGGGGGTGGATTTCAGGGGGCTGTAACTCCGAAAGAGGGCGCCACTTGGCAAAATATAAAAAAATACGGGTCCCCTAAATTTGTCATGACCAAATTTTGTTGTATTAATTTCAGGACACTCTGTATATCAACAGCCTTTGACTTTTGTGTAAATTGATTTAAATTGATGAAAAAGTTTAAGAAGGGTACAAATTTAGCAAAAGCATAACATTTGATTAGTCTGGAATCCATTTGTCTGTGAAACAATGTATTTCCGTTTTGCAACAAATGAAGTAGCGTTGCATAAAACAGTCGTTGGAAATCTCGAACAAAAAATAAAAGACTGTTTCGGGTATTCTTAGCGACGTTTATATCTAAGACGAAAAAACCTATGCTCGACTTCGGATACTCCAATTAAAAGAAAAACTCGCGAGCTTAATTTTTAAAGGTAACTTAATATATATAAGTTTTTTTTTTCATCCAAGGGAGTAACTCTTGAAGTTTGGTTCATTAATTACAGAGAGAGCACCCTGTATAACGTTATGATTTGAACTAGAAGAGATGCAACATTGGTTAAATTACAACAAAATTTCACATTTCCATTCCATCTAAGCTTATCAGAAAATGAAAATAAATTATGAAATATATTCAAAAATATTTCCTTCATATTTTTTTATCGGATAATGAAAACAGAGTAATAAATTAGTGAGTGCACATACTATATCCTAAATTTGTTGATGTCAAAATTTTAAATTGTTTTTCATGACAATAAATTAAGAAATTGACATGTTTTTTAGACATTAATAACTAATAAATCATTAAAGGCATAATTTTATTCTCAATTCAATTGTAATGGCAGTTTGTTATAAAAATATGAGGATCTAATAGGCCTGAAAAATTTGTGAATCTTCCGAGAGATAGATCAAGCACAATTACAGAGGCTTATGTTTGCTTACTGGTAAAAAGCCTTTCTATCGCTTCTGGACATTAGAGAAATTCCAATAGTGTTTGCCATCATACGAAGCACGGGCATGTTTTAAAAAACTTTTGTTAGCGGCATGCACAATCGGTCATAAACCCGAAGCGCTGCGGGTAACTGCGCCATTTCATACAACTACAATAAAGGATATAGTATATCAACTTATGCATACGTAGTAAATTTTATTACATTATTTTTAGTAATAAAAAAACAAAAAGAAATGTTGTTTCCAAATTTTTCAGAATATTTCACGAAACATGCGATTTCTGTTTAATTTCATAAACTTAAAAGACATAAAATACATATTTTTTTTGTAATTTTACCAATCCGCATTTCTTGTAGTTCACACCCCAACATTAAACATATTAAAAATTGTCACCGTGCATAAAATCCAAACCAGCAATAAACTAGACCTAAAAGATCTACTTCTAATTCTTTGTTGGAGCTATTCTTCTTTTTTGTTTCTGTTGATAACTACCTTTCAAAACTCTATATCTATCTTGATCTAATAAAATCAATTTTTGTTGAAAACTCACCTCGATGGTATTCTTGGTAGAAATCACATGGTCCTTATTTCTCACAACGTAATCAATATGCTTCGCCCTCTCCTCGATTCCAGTCAGCAAACTTTCGAAATTCTGCCAGCGGCCTTCGAACGTCTCCCACACCTGGGCCAGTCCGGTGAGGGTGTCTCTCCTATTCTCCAAATCCGACACCAAACTCGTCCATTCCTCGGTCACTTTATCGCTCTGGGTCTGGATGTTCTGCTTGTTGCGCTGGTCAGCCTGTTTGGTGATCTCGTTCACGCGTTCTAAGAGCAGGTCTAGTTCCAGCTGCTGGTTCTGAAAAGACACAAAAGCCGTCAGGAGAGTGTGCAACATGAGAACGCGAGATACGGTTTGATTCTTCGTGAAATGACACGGAAACGTAATTCGGGTCTTTTGTAACAGTATCAAATGGATTAGTTTTTATAAATGCTTTAAATAACGAATGATTAATTCTGTAGAGGGATAGAGTTAAAATTATGTATTTACTAATAAATTACTGTGGTTAACTTTTTATTTGGTTTTGATTTTTTCTAAGTGAAAGTACCTACGTATAACAAGACGGATCTTGAGCTTTTGATTTATTGATGTATTTGTGTTTCAAAAGTTTTAAAGTATTCGATTTTGATTTCTTTGTATAACAGGGAACGTAAAAAAATGATAACTTACGTACTTGACAGCAGAACTAGTTTATGTCCAATATTTTAAAATTTAAGTTTTCTAATTCAGTATTACCGTAAGAATGTCGCAAAAAGGAAACCTTGGGCATAGACTAGTTCTGCTCTCAAGCAACAAAATACGATTTCTGCAAGAACTGAAATTCTGGTTTTTGGGATGAGTAAAAAGATCAATCTGTAAATCTTTGGGTCAAAAAGATGCGACTTTTCTTATGTCATTTTTCATTTAGGTCTTCGTTTTCAAAATATGAGGTGTTTTAAATAAATATTTTTTGTTGTTTTTTAAAATATTCAGTTTTTTACCGCACGCCTATGGTTCAAGGTTATTGATCTTTTGGATCAGAAACTTAAAGCTTGCTGTACGATATAATCGTGTACGGAAAAAGAAAAGATCCCATCAATTTTTTTGCTATTACTTCTTAGTGTGTCCATATTTTTTTAATATACAGGGTGTGCCATTTATTATTTCCAAAGGCGTTTCCTTAGAGACGAAAATATTTTAAATCTTTACTAGACACAGATGGAGAACAATAAAAAGGTCAACTTGACATACAATTATTTTATTTAATTCAAATTTTAGATGACATTACAATATAAAAAATTGCTGAGACAAAGAAAATAACTCCATCGTATAGAGAATTAAACCGTTAGGATATTGGAAAGTTTATTCATTGTTTCTTCATAAGAATAATGCTTTATATTTTTTAATAACAAATCTGATAGATTTTGCACAGTTATATAGAGATTTAAACAACTAAATTGTCGTCCATTATTTGATTCTGTGATTCTAAATAAGACGCCTTACTAATTATGGCCTAACAACACTAACAAAAATAGGAATTGTCAAAAAACATATATGCAGATGTCATGATCCAAACCAATGCATTTTATCTTTTATTTTTTTATTTGTTTTATTTTAGGAGGTTGTTTTAAATAATTTTTTTCTCATTTTAAGTGTTCGAAAATTAGTTTAAAGATCGAATCGAAAACTGATGTAGTACTCCAGTCGACAGAGGCCGAAAAGTTACTGTTGGTGACATTTTCTTGATAACTCGGAAATAACTACACAGGTCTACTTTAAATGATGAGTACAATAACAGGCTAATTTGCTGACAAAGTATTTTATCAGGAAAAAAGTTATTAACAATTTAATCGTGAAAAAAATTTTTTTAGTAGTTTTCTTTAAATAATTCAGCGGGATGACTGTACGAAAAAATGGTTAGGACATGATTTTGTTCGTAATAAAAATAGCTACAAAATGGCGGTGGTCCGATTACGAAATTTGCAATAACAAAGCCGTAAGATTGAAAAAACGGTATAAAACGCCAATTTTTTTAAGTTGCTGTAAAAATGTCAATAATAAACAAAAAGTGATAAAACTTTCGAAAACTATAGTTCAATATATACACAATAATGACGCTAAAGCCGAAAATCAGGAGAGCAAAACTTTTTGTTCTATAAGGTGTTATACATTCATCGGCATCTGAAACTCGAAACTTTGCCAAATTTGTTCGAAGCTTTGCTGACACTTGAAATTTGGTACACACATAGTGTAAATATGCAGAAACCAAAAACAATTTGCAAAATTCAAGTACCTTCATTTTTGCAGTTTTATACGTCACCCTAGTTTTATACGTCATGTACGTATACGTTTTTTTAATTTTTGGACGTATATTTATGTATATTAATAAAATATTCCATTACGGTAGATTAGCCAGCATAATTACCTACAATTTAAAAAATATATATTTTCATTGTTTAGATCCTAAGCTACTTAACATTTTGCGCCTGTTAGCCGTAGTCGTACATTATTCAACATATTAACATAAAACAAAATCGTACGTGTGGGGTAAACCTTTAACTTTAAGTAAACAATTGTTTAAATTTACTGTTGCATATTTCTAATAGTATACAAGCGCCGAAGAGCGGAGCTCGCTCTCGAAAATGAAAAGTTAAAGGTTTACCCCACACGTACGATTTTGTTCTATGTAAATATGTTGTAATAAAATAATGTACGACTACGGCTATCAGGCGCAAAATGTTAAGTAGCTTAGGATCTAAACGATGAAAATATATATGTTTTTAAATTGTAGGTAATTATGCTGGCTAATCTACCGTAATGGAATATTTTATAAATATACATAAATATACGTCCAAAAATGAAAAAAACTGTGACGTATAAAACTAGGGTGACGTATAAAACCTTACCAAAACTGCAAAAATGAAGATACTTGAATTTTGCAAATTGCTTTTGGTTTCTGCATATTTACACTATGCGTGTACTAAATTTCAAGTGTCAGCAAAGCTTCGAACAAATTTGGCAAAGTTTCGAGTTTCAGATGCCGATGAATGTATAACACCTTATAGAACAAAAAGTTTTGCTCTCCTGATTTTCGGCTTTAGCGTCATTATTGTATATATATTGAACTATAGTTTTCGAAAGTTTTATCACTTTTTGTTTATAATTGACATTTTTACAGGAACTTTAAAAAATTGGCGTTTTATACCGTTTTTTCAATCTCACGGCTTTGTTATTGCAAATTTCGTAATCGGACCACAGCCATTTTGTAGCTATTTTTATTACGAACAAAATCATATTCTAAGCATTTTTTCGTACAAAGTCATCCCGCTGAGTTATTTAAAGAAAACTACTAAAAAATTTTTTTTTCACGATTAAATTGTTAATAACTTTTTCCTGGTAAAATACTTTGTCAGCAAATTAGCCTGTTATTGTACTCATCATTTAAAGTTTGACACACGCCCAACCTCTACCAACTGGACTATAGGTAAATTTATTCATAAAGACATAACACTAAATATTTTTTCTATCAGTTTTCCTTAAATACAAAAAAAAAATTAAATAGGTAGTCTTAGTACGTCTATTCCTATTTCAAGGAAATATGACAGCAAGACTAGCCTAGAATTTTTATAAACTGTTACCAAATGATTTGAAAGATATTTCTCCTCAATAATCGATTTATTTTTTTACACTTTCGGCGAAACTATTCATAATCACAGAATCTAATACAATTCCTATTAAACAGAAAGAGCGTTATTCTTGCCAGGAAAAACTAAACAATATTCGAAATATTTGACAAACAATAAGGAATAAGGACAAATTGTCTAAAATCTAATTCTCAGTTTTTTTTTCAGGGATCGAAAAACTTGCACAGCAATATCATCTACCTCTCTCATGGTTAGCAGTTATTAAAAATACATCTTTTCATTTCTCAGGAAGCGTCAGTGGGAATGTTAAGTAGCATAGTCTGATTAGACTTTATTTTGTACTGAATATATCTAGTGGGAAAAAATCCTTCAGTTGGTTGTGGAAGTATATTAAAAAAATTAAAAAACTGTATTTGTTCTGCAAAAAAGTAATTTGTTTATATTACAAGTCATTCTAAATAAGAATCTGTTGGAAACTTTTCTCTAAAAACATCTCTATTAGTACTTTTCTAATTATCCCACACAAACTATGGTTACCCGAGTGAGATTATGGAATCTGTCGAAATAAAAAAGAAGTTTCATCCATTTGTTTTTCTACTAAAATAGTTAAATTCCTCTTAAAAAGTACTAAAATATTAAATTTATTAGGTTTATTCAAGCAAGCGAAATGATGGTGGTAAAAAAATTATTCAGCTCACTCTGTACAGCTTGACCTCTCAAAAATAAAAACACCTTTAGGTATAATTCTTGGCTGATGATTTCATTTAAGTAATTTTAGTTAATATTTTTAGGTTAATATAAAATTATTATATCGCGTCTATCGGTTTGCGGTTTTCCAACATTTCTTATCGTTGCCTAGCTTTTAGGCATTTAAGTATTCAAATATATTTATAATAGGACTTCCGAGTGGAAAGAATAGTATCTTGAAAAACCAATGCATGCTGAACTTGAACACCGACGAAAAATATATCTAGAAATCGTTTCCGTTTATAAAGATAGCGAAATAGTCCGGTGACGTTACATGTAAATCTCGTATATTTTTATAATGTGGAAAATCATATTGTGTGGATACTTTAAAAAAAAATGTAACTACATTATTAAGGTATATTTATCAGAAAATTAATCAGCCTAATACAGTGTGTTCATTTAAACCGACTCATAATGTTTGAGTTTCCTTTGCAACATTCCGTAACTGTCTTTTAGACCATATTTTGTTTGTTGGTTATATTTCAACTTATCAAAGAGCTATAATTTGCAACTTAACTGATGATTTGCTCTATTCTCAATTTTTTGTATGTATAAAATTCTTGTTTTTTTTTTATATAAAATCGAAGTAAATTTGCGTACAATTTTTCAAATATCTTTTTACTATAATTGTATGTCTATACATCTCCGTATTTCTCAAAATTAATGAAACATTGACAACAGTTTTCTGACTATAATACTTAGTACAATATTTTGCTTTTCAGAACATTATCTTAAAACAGTATTATGATAATGTAAGATAAAAAATACTCTGTAATATTTATTTAAAGTAATAATACATTTATAAATAGTAATTATTAATTTATAGAAACATTTTATCTCTTCTACAAGTCCGAGTGTTAGGTGTATGGAAAATATTAATATCACCACTTCAAAGGTATTGTTATAAAATTAATACCTGTAGGCAAT